TTGTGCCCTCCCCCCTCCCCGGAAAAAGGAAGTCTGTTTTCAAACCTTCTCTGTGGCACCCAGGGTCCCTGCTGCTGTCACACCACAGCCAGCTCCCTCCTCCCTACCTGACCCCACGGCCACCCCTTTGTTTATGGCTTTACTCTCTGTCCACACACCCTGAAAAACATAGCTTGCTTTTGCACCTTCTACAGGCAGAATCATAATGTCTGTCTTTTTTGCATTTTACTTTTAATGTCTGACTTGTGGGACAGGTCCACAGTGTGTGTAGCTGTAATGTGTGCATTTTGGCTGCTGTGGACAGCCAATTTGATTGGCAGTCAATTTAGACCCTGGAGCAGGTCTAAAGACATATTTTTGAGTCTAAAAATATATGGCAAAAATGTGCAGTCTAAGGAAGCAGAAAACATAAAATCAAGGCGACAGACAGCAGAGTCCTGAGAGCCTGGCTGAGGATGCGCACCACACAGCACCGTGCACAGCCCTCGCTGTAGACAGCGGCCCAGCGTCTCCCTGCCATAGCCAGTGCCCGGGCACCAATGGGCGGCCTCGGTCATACAAGGAAACCTGGCTGGGTTAATGGCCGCTGTGCTGGGGATGCGGGTAGTTGCTCATTATCCTCACCGCTCACCCTCCCGCAGTCTTTCCTTGAAGACTTGAAGAGGGCTTGACTCTGATAACGCATTGCTTTCACTTACGAAGCCAAGTCAATGCTGGTTAAAGAATGCGAAGGTTGCGTTGAATATTAATCAGTTATTGATTCAGAAACACTATTGGTGGCTTTCAGCGGCTTTACAAGGAAGGAAAATTCCAGACCAATAACTCACAGGAATATTGAGGCGAAAATCGTAAATAATTTAACAGCCAATAGGACCCAGCAGGATATAAAAGGACAGTATGTTATGGGGAAGGAGGGGGGCAGGACTGGGCAGAGCCAACGCATGGCTCTCGACCCCGTGGGCAGTTCGGAAGGTAAGACACACTCAGGACAGCCCCACACTGGGGGCCGGGCCGGGCTTTCTACTCCCCCACGGACTGCTGTTGGAGGCAGTCACTCTGAAGGGGACCCTTCAGTAGCTGGGGCCACAGTCCTTTATTCCTGAAGGGGATTACCAAGCACAGAGCAGCAGCCAAGGCTGCTGGGTCCGATGGTAACGATACAAGGGGCCACTTCTAAATTCAGGCAGTTGATTACTTAGGCAGACAATCAAAGGCCAAGAGTAAGCCACCGGTGCCAGCTCCTGGTCCTCCCCTCACACACCAGAAAGGACAGCACGGACACACCAGGGGCGGGTGACGGCAGCATGAGCGTGGGAGGCCACGCTGCCGAGGGGCCGCGTCTAGACTGCACCCCGCAGCTTTACATCCCGCAGGTCTGTCTGAGCTCACCGGACTTCACCAGAAGCCTCCCGGGGAGACAAGCAGGCGGGTGGGAGATGGCCTTGGAGCAGGTCCCCCGGGCCTCCCCGCCTCAAAATCACAAGGCATTCGGCCAAGACAGAGGAGCTGTGGGTCAGCTCTTGCCTGCACGTGCCAGGGTGACTACAGCACCCACCAACAATGACCCAGTGGAGTACGTTTCAGCACCCTAAGGACAGTTTAACGTTAGAAAATTAAGTGTTGTGACTCACAACATTAACAGAAAAAAAGAAAAAATTATATCATTATCTCCATAGATACAGAGAAGGCATTTAGCAAAATTCAACACCCATTCACAATTTTTATAAATGCTCACAGCAAACTGGGAATGGAAAAGCACCTCCTTAATCTAATACAGAAGGTTGCAAACATTATCCTTTATTGGATAATAGTGAGGCAATGATGCCTTCTCTTACCACTTCTGTTTAGCACTGCACTAGAGGTCATAGCCAGTGCAATAAGGCAAGAGAAATAAATCATTTACCCGGAAACTGCAATTATCTGAAATCAACCTAACATTCTCTTACAAATCAATCTACAATAGAGCTGCCAAGATGCCACAAAGTCTCTGCACTTCACTCACACAGGAGGAGTTTCTAAGCCTTCACTGAGGATGCACAGAATTCTAATAAG